AAGCGCTTCTTTCGAAGCTGCCTTCCTATGGGCTTCCCGAGAAATTGTGCAGTTGGATCACCAGTTTTACACCGCTAGTGTTCCACAAGGCTGCGTGATATCACCAACGTCATTCACACACAACACACAACACAGTCATTCGTCGTTGTTTACACTTAGAGATAGCACGTGTCGGTGTTATTAAAACGAGTTCTGAGCATCAGGAGTTACAAACAAATTCTATTTAAGTTCATTTTCTATCAGTTCTTTTTTTTTATCTTCATATCTTATTCGATTACGTCGAGAGTAATTGTTAATAATAATGCATTGTGCACTATGCAATACGAATTTCAATGATGGCGTTAAGTGTGGATCGTACAAAAAGCAACTTTGTTTTGGCTGGTCAAATATAACCGAAGCTGGGTATAGGAAGCTGGGTGCCAACCGAAGGGCTGCGTGGAGGTGTTCCTATTGCCGGAACCTTCTATACGCCCCTTCAACGCCAACGCCAACCACGTCGCCGCCGATCCCTGCCATTGATGGTGGTGCTTCAATTGATATGGTTCTGCAGGAAATACGTGACCTAAAACTACAGCTTCACTGCCTACCAGCACTCATTGATGACGTGAAAAGCATTAGACGTGAAATACAAGAGCTAAAATCATTCTGTGAATTTAATAATGAAAAAATAATTAACTGTGAGTCCAGAATAACTGATCTTGAATCCAAGATACCGAAATTGGAGCAAATAAAAATAACAGTTGACTCGACACTCTCTGAAATATCGACCCTGAAAAAGGAGTTAGCTGCTAAGGAACAATGGTCTCGACTTAACTATGTCGAGATAAAGGGAGTTCCCCTAAAGAGAGATGAAAACCTTTTTTCAATAGTAGAAAACATATGCACGCAAGTTGGTTACACGATCCCCAAACATCAAATAAATTACATAGCGAGGGTGCCGACACATTTTGGTAAAGATAAATCTATTATTGTCAACTTCATCAACCGCTACATAAAGGAAGAATTTGTAGCTGCAGCGAGAGCCAAAGCGAAGGACATTGGGTTTGTGGGTAACGAACAACGTCTGTATGTTAATGACCACTGTTACACCACAAAATAAACGCTGTTTCTTCTGCATATCAAATGTTACAAACCAGTAACATTCATTGCTATGCAGACGACAGCACTAGTGATGCTTTATACACCGGCCGTGCCAATATTTCTCGGGAAAACATCGCCGAGTACCGAAACAAACTTGTGTCTGAAGTCGAGACTTTGTGGAACAAAGTCTCAGACTGGGAGCGACTAAATCTAGTCCAGTTCAATCCCCAGAAGACACAAGTTTGCGCGTTTACCGCTAAAAAGAATCCCTTTGTCGTATCTCCTCAGTTTCAAGGCACTCCCCTTGTTGCATCAGCCAGTATCGGTATCCTCGGTGTCGACATATCGAGTGACGTGCAGTTTCGTGGTCACTTGGAAGAGAAGGCCAAATTCGCCTCTAAAAAGCTTGGCGTGCTCAGCAGAGCGGGACAGTATTTCATGCGGGCGCACCGCTTGCAACGTTTCAAGGCGCAGGTTCGGCCTCACATGGAATACTGTTCCCATCTCTGGGCAGGGGCTCCCCAGTGCCAGCTCCTTCCACTTTACCGCATCCAGCGCAAAGCGGTTCGAATCGTCGACGACCGAGTTCTTTCCGATCGGCTTGACTCACTGGCACTGCGTAGAGATGTTGCATCTCTTTGCGTATTTTATCGCAACTACCACGGGGAGTGCTCTGAGGAATTGTTCGGACTAATTCCAGCCGCTCAATTTCACTATCGCACATCGAGACAAAACTCGCGATACCATCCATAGCGATTCAGAAGAAGTTTTCTCCCTCGCACAACTTCCTTGTGGAATCAATTACCACCAGCGATTTTTCCGGACCGATACGACTTAGGGACCTTCAAGAAAAGAGCGTACTCCTTTTTAAAAGGCCGGCAACGCATCTGCGATTCCCCTGGTGTTGCAGTTGTTCATGGGCGGCGGTAGTCACTTACCATCAGGTGAGCCGCATGCTCGTTTGACCCTTTCCTATAAAAAAAACCATACGATATTATGCTATGGAAATAACTAAAGTAAGCTAATCTAGCTGTTTCAGCACTGGTAAGCATTCTAACCTTTTTTTACAGCATATGCTGCAGAGCTAAGTCTGCTTGCTAATTTTGATATATGGGGGCTCCATTGAAGCTTGGCGTCTAATGTGATTCCAAGAAAAATGGTGGTATCTACAAGACTCAGTTTCTCTCCATTTAAAATTACATTAGAATTTAATTGTTTGACATTTGGAGTCATAAATTTCATACATTAAAGTGTTTTAGTAGTTTTTTTTTCGTGTTACATAATACTAAGCTTAATTAAAATACAATATGGAATATACCAACTATGATTAGCGATAAAAAATGTAAGATTATAGCTAAGTCAATAACTGCCTAAACATTGTTGTCTGTGAGGTCGAAGTTAAGCCATTTTAAGTTGCAAGCGATGTGCCGGCATTAAATACTGTCCCGCTCTAAAAAACACGCCAAGATTTTTAGAAGCCAATTTGGCCTTCATTCATCTTTGTATATGTCAACGCCGAGGATTCCGACGCTAGCTGAGGCAACGAGGGGAGTGCCTAATTGAAGAGATACGACAGAGGTTCTTATGAGTGGTAATTGCGCAAACTTGTGTCTTCTGGGCATTGAACTTAATTATATTTAGCCGTACTAATCCGAGACCTTATCCAGCAAAAACTCGACTTCAGACACAAGTTCCGGTACTCGCCGACGCTTCCCCAAGAAATATAGGCACAGCCGGTGTATAAAGCATCATCAGTGCACGTTACTGGTTTGAAATATATTATTGATAAGATTACGGCCGGTGCCAAATAGGCAGCACACGCCTTCAGCACAATGGGGGGATCTCCACCAGGCCCACTCGACTTGATGTCTAGGGAGAGTAGCGCTATGCGCACCGAGCACTGCGCTGTGTCAACTGTATCGTACCGACCTGAAGGCAAAATTATACTTCTTTTTAATAGCGCTGGTGAAGCACTTCTATTATAGACAGACACTATAGATGATAGAATGAAGAGTTCCATTCTCTGAAGTACCACATCAGCGACAGAATCATGCTGGGATCTTCCGGCGAGAAGCATACCCGCCCCTGTTCTCAAGGGAAGGATTCAAAAAAAGACCGCATCTTGTCCGAATCGGCCGACCTATAATACAAAACGCGGCGGCGATCTGCAGAACGCAACCGCGATAGGAGTATGAATGGCACCATAGTCCGGATCAGACAATGGTCCAATGAGCCAAGAGGAGCGTCGACGAAGACCTGATATCCGTTCGGATGAGAGGTCAGCAGAAGGTCCAAAAGGGAAGGTGCACGATCCTCCATATCTCGAATTCGCGTAGGCGAAGCAACCATTTGTGTCAGACCATATAATGCCAAGGCAAAGTCATAACAGTTTTTCCCACATGATCGGTTAAACGAGAACCAAGCTATTCAACGTGGTGGCCTATAAAATCACCAAGGATCACGATCTCTGCAGATGGGACCGATTGTATCACGGACTCGGCAGCGATTTGAACGTGGTCTATGAATTGGTCTGTGTCGGCATTACCTATAGAGGCACCCGTACATTCGAGGATAGTTGTCGCTGACCGTCAAGACTGCCGAAGTTTAAAAGGTTAGAAAGAGCAAGGTCGGCTTCGCCGTCTTGAGATGGTACTTAGTGGACTTTGTTAACGTTCGAATGAAATCCCCTGATGTACCACGGATAGCGTGGTATGGGTCACCTTGATCTTATTGGTCTACTTGCCATGTGCAGTATTACTCTTATGCGGAATCACCCCCCCCCCCCCCCCCCCAGGATAGAGTAGCTTGGATGGATGCTCAGCCAGGGATCCTCCAATACCAGAGGTGCTGGTATCCTCCTGGGATAGTTTCTTACTGCCGTGTAGCTCTTCCACTGTTATGTTATCTGCCTATATTATTAACTTTGGTTTTTTAATATTTTTTAAAATGTAACCACACTAGGATTTTTTCCTGTATTACAGTTTACAAACATAAATTGCACAAGGAACATTCAGACCCGGAACAATTATTTGTAGGCCATACAAATTCTTATTCCGTGCGGGATTCGAACCCGCAGCGCTTAGCGCTGCTACTCAATTGCTGAGCCACTACGCCACAGAGCCGTCAAAGTAGTAACTTAACTGTAATCTACTTCGTCATTGTTCATGTGTTACACATAATACTTAGTAGTAAGTAGCTTTGTTTTGTTTTGCCCTGTAGTGGGTGACAAGGGGCTGATTGTGAATGACTTATTTTCTAAACATGCTTATAGGGAGTGGCATTCAAGAAAGATTGAAAGTTTTCAATTTTGATAGTAATACAACGTACATACATCAAATCATTCACATGCCAAGTGCGTACAAAAAACCGGTCATAGTTTCCTATCCATCTATTAGTTCCCGGCAGTGTAATCCTAAGATAAACATAACCTTAAAGGGTCCGCGAGACGATCAAGTGCACTTGACAAGTCTACGTGCTTGAAGTGAATATTGATCGTTTACAGCGTTGGCTTGACAAGTCCCGTCAAGTATCTACGGGCTACCATACTTGACAAAAATTTTGATTGACGGCACTTGAACCACCTTGCGCTTGATGCGACTTGACAAGTTTTATTCATTTGGGGCCGGAACATCGAAGATGGCGGACGACGAACCGGACCGAGATGTGGCTTTGGCGGCAAGCGCCGACCTAATTACCGAGCGTGATTTTGTGTTATTATTAATATCTCTCTACAGAGATTATCCTGCATTGTGGAAAATTAAAAGTAAGGAGTATGCGGATAAAAACAAAAGGTCAGATACACTGGTAACACTACAGCTACACCGTTAAAGATACTGTCAAATGTCAATACCGTAACGGTTGCGCGAGATTTAAAAAATTATGCTACATTTTAAGCAAATTGTAGAAAAAAAACTGGTTTTCAATTAACAATAACATTTTAATATATTTATTAATAATATGTTTTACATTATGTAATTTTTTTAAATAACATTGCGGTACCTATGCTATGTCCCCCTTTTGGGTCAGATAGGGTGTTTGTTACGACATATTGTATAATAACAAACTGTAATACAGATTATCACCCTTAGAAATAGTAATAGAAAAAAGGGCTTTTACACGCTGTTATTTTTTCCATTTAACTTTCTTACAATTGCAGATAACTAGTTATAAAAAAATTAACTAGAATTTAATAAAACAATACTTAAAAATACTGATATGTTTACAGAATTTCTGTCTAGAATAATAAATTATGAACAATATTATAATATACTTAACGTAACATTAACAAAGTAAATTTAAAACTGACTGAATATACATAGCTAAATTTTTCTTTATCAGGCCGTAATTTTACACTGCTGGACCACTGTAGGGAGAATTTGCGACAATTGCCATGATTGGCAAGACGTCTTGCGCCTTTGACGCACATACACAGACCGGTTTTGCTATACTGCCATCTGACGGAAGCCGTGAGACTTTTCTGGCATTTCCAATCGCCTCGTACTAAGTAATCACTCAAACCACATGACTAAGGAAAAGGTCCAGTGCAAAAAAAAGGTAGCGTCAAAAGAGAACATTTTTCCCGACTTAAATTCGATTATGTATGCTTTTCTGTTTGTTACGCGATATCTACGTTAATTGTGAACCGATTTTCATAATTATTTTATTAATAGGTTCAGGGGTGATCCCATATAAATTTGGAAAAAAATTCTACTACTAAGGACAGAAAATAAGGAATGAAGTATTTAATGTAACTAATAAGAAGAGATTCTAGTATATACCTTAAGCCTAATATTTCTTAGTCCAATGAAAAAAAGCCGATTAAAAAGAACTAAAAAAAATCAAGGTCCTCAAAATATTGCTTTTTACACTGTATGTTTTGTTCTATTTATTTGATAACAATTGAAAAGGACGGAGAGAGAGTAAGTGGACTGCATTTACTAAAACACTGACTGAGAGAGCTAACTGAGGTATACTGACTGAACTTGAACTTCTTCCCCGTTTATGCTCGTTACTAAAGGTTTTAAAATTTTATGCTTATGCTCTAAAAAAATAACTTTATACTTTTATCTAAATTTAGGAACCCCTAGCGCAGGGGACACCAAATGGCGGACCGAATCCGGACCGCCAAACTATTTTGTGCGGAACCAGAAGAAACTAAAGAATATCAAGGTAAAAATTTAAACAAGTTTAATACACAATAAGTCGGAACTTCTTTTCCAAGAATAATATTAAGAGTAATAGTAATAGAAATATAAAATTAGTGTGTGGTAACCCAGAACTGACCTTTTAATCTTTGTACAGTGTTTGGACCAACATATATTTGTGAAGAAGCCTTTTCCAAGATAAACTTATTTAAAAACTAGCTGTTCCTCGCTACTTCGTCCGCGTGTTATTTGGAGTTTTAATTTCTTTTCCGCGGGACCCTAATTCTTTTTCTAAAACAAAACTAGCCTAAGTTACTCATTGTGACATCAGCTATCTGCCAGTCCCATCAAAATCGGTCCAGCCGTTTCGGAGATTAGTCGGAACAAACAGACAGATAAAAACTTTAAAAATTGTATTTTTGTTATTAGTACCGTATATATACTTTCATATCAATTTTGTAAAAAGCTGTAATTTTGACATTACAAACAGACACTTCAATTTTATTTTATTTGTATAGATAAATTTTGATCTCGTGTTACCAACGACCATCTCCAAGCTTTAATGGCAATAGCTTGCACCAACTTAATTCTAGAATTCAGACAGATTGTTCACATTAAAAAATGCCATTTTTCACCTTAATATTGGATACTTACTTTGTTATTTTTTGATTAGATATATCCTTAATAAAAAAATATTCTGAATTTTTTTCGTTTTATATTGTAATTAACATTTTAAATCTCGGTTGCTCGACATTATGTAGCAAACGGACCGCGGCAGATTTATATAATTTTTAAACGGACCCACAATTGAACTAATTGGTGATCCCTGCCCTAACGTATCATCTCGAGCCGTTTTACAGGAGAAATAAAATTTTAAAATAAACATCAACGGAAGTAATAAAACATTAGACTCTTTGAAAAGGGCACGACTCGCTAGGCCTCAAGTTATGGAGATTACACCTAATCTCTTGTTACTGCAAAATAAATATTGTTTCCGTTTCGGCTGCAGATCGCCACAGTAATACAATATAGGGCATGATGCTGTGAGAGTAAGCCAAATAATTTAGCTGTTGTTTTATCAGTAAAGTCAATCAAACTTGTAATAGTAAAGATCGCAGAATTTCATTTCGGAGCTAGTTTACCAATATACACTCTTTGTTAAAAGTGCGAGGTAGATTAGCGCCTGTTAAACGTGGCGATTATGAAAAATTCTCTCTACAGTGATAGAGACCCACCCACGTTAAGTAATGGATGGTTTAGATAGATAGAACGGGATAGTGAGAATTACAAATCTACATTATCGATTATAAAGTGACAAAACAATATACAATTTATTTCTTTGTTGATTCTTTTCATTTACTCTAAAAAGTGTTTCATAGGTTTGTAATAGTATAAACATTGTGTGGTTACTCTTACAAATAAAACATAAATTAAAACAAATAAATTAAATTTAGTCTTCAATATGAACAAAAGTTGTATTTTCTATAAAGATAGTATCTGTTTTTCTTATTTCTGAAGGAGGGAGGCAAAATGGTGGGGGATGAGACCAAAAACCGTTTTCAGTGCACACAATCGAAGATTCACCTAAAACTTGATATCCATCATCACAACCATAGGTAATCAAGTCACCCACGGCATACTTTCCATTCCTTGCGGAGACCTGCGTGAGTAGTCGGGCATTTTCCGGTACTATTGCATTAGGACAATAAATGGCTGCAAGAAAAAGAGAAATTAACTTGTCCACTATAATGCACGTAGTTAACGTATGATTACAAATTTCTTATTGAATTAATATTCAGTAAGTGTTTGTGTTTATTGTATATGCGTAATACATTAACACAATGATTATTTTAAAATAGCGGCTTCGCTTGTGTAGGATCTATTAATATAGCGTAATTTTTTTTAATACTTTTCAATGACCATTTATTTTATTAATTTTTCGATTTCACAAAATCCTCCAAGTTTTTCGGGTAAAATATAGTCTAGATCACTCCTGGCATTGTTCTCTATCTGTTAGTGAAGTTCGATCACAATCGGTTCAGTCATTCCAAAGTTAAAGTCCACTGCTAAACATAGGCCTCTCCCATGGATTGCCTCATACGCAATCGCAGATTTTTATTTTTAGTCGTTATTAGGAAGATACTGCTGCCCATCTCCTGATTTGTTTCCTGTTGTTGTTGTGGACTGTGTGCTCGTTTGTCACCCTTATTTAAAATAAAACTTATTGAAAGTCATTTTTTTATTTACCACTGGTTCGGAAAATACCTCTGTCCTGAGAAGAACCAGTAAGATACCCAGCGGGACTTTTAAACATATTTCACTTAACAATAATTTTGATTATACAATTTTTAAATTAAATTTCATATAACCAGCATGGTGGCGATCACCTTACTTCCAGTGGTTATTTTCATTCATGTATTCCTTGATATTATAATAGCCCTTTTTGTACAGTTTTGGTACAGTGGATATTCTTACACTGCCACTACACGGTTAATTAATTTCTTAATTGCACAAAAATAACAATCTGAAGTCACTTCTTCGACTTCACGTTTATTTATATTCATAGCTTTAACAAGTATACTAAAAATATATACCTATAACAAGATGATCTTGGTTTTGGTTTATACACGAAAAAATATTACCCTCATTTAAGGCTCCGCAACAGCCGAATTCGGTTCGAAAATAAAAGGGTTCGGAAGAACATTATCCATCTACCTCGAATGTGTATTTAGGAAAAGCTGTTATTTTGATATTACAAACAGACAAATCAATTTTATTTATTTGTATAAATCGCATCGATCTAACAGTTAACCTTATCCTGTTGTATTTTCGACATCAGAAGTGTGATCTTGTGATGAAGATTCGATAAATATTTTACGGTATAAACATAAGCTTTACCGAGTACGTATGCCATCAACATACATATTATAATAATTCTTAAACATACTAATTTATGTGTATGTACATCATAATATCGTGATGCATACGTTGAACCGTGCTCCCCGTACAGTCAAGGAATCGGTTTGTCCTCCGGCCGTGACGTCACAGTTTACAAACACAAACATATTAAAATAAATCTGTCTAATCCAAACAGATAATAAGATTTGTCTTACGTATGCAATGTGGTATGTCTCCTGACCAGCGGCCGTCCAGTTCACACTCCAGCCCCGGTGGTCCCACGAGCCTATAGCCCCAAGCACATTGGAACACAGCACGACCACCATACGACGAATTGTATTCCACCAAGCTCAAGTGGGGTCCTAAGGTTCTCAGCATTGGACAAAAGGTTTCCACACAAGTTGGAGGCAATGAAGACCATTTTCCTTATAAAAAACAGTTTTATTTAAAATCATGGAGTATACATATTGTGTATATAGCACATTGTGAACATTACTTTTGTTTATTCAAAAAAAAAACGAATGGTATAATGCATTTCCAGCCTATATTTAACAGCAGTACTCCTTGTACGACTAGACTTGCCGTCCTATTTGTGTTAAGTGATTTAAACCTTTCTCGTAAATCAGTTTATCTATTGGTAAAAACAGAAAAAAATTCCTACAGTAGTTTTTGAATATATTGTTTAGTGAAAATATTTACTTGTATATTCTATCATCAAATGTCTTTTCAAAAATACTACTTTTAATCAAATCACCTTCTTCACCATCAGCCCGTAAATGTCCATTACTGAATATTGATTTCTCGCGTTGTAGGGAGGGGTTTGCTGTAATCGTCACGCTAGGCAGCCAGACTAACGATCACATTCCACCTTGGACTATGCTCTCCGATGTCAATCTGGATATTGTACGACTTGGCTTAAACGAAATTTTACTAACATTTCTGAACGTTTTTTTTTTGGCATTTCCCATAGTGGTCCTTTACGACTCCCATGGGACTTATGCCACCAAAAACATATAAGCGAAAAGGGGACCAAGTTCGGTTTAAAAGACGTTCGGTTAGCCAAAGTTTTTGTTGTTAAAACGAAAACATTACTCGAATTTTACGTTTTTTTTTTATAGAAGTGGGGGCAAACGTGCATGCGGCTCACCTGATGGTAAGTGACTACCGTCGCCCATGAACAACCGCAACACCAAGGGTATTGCAGATGCGTTGCCGGCGTTTTAGAAAGGTTACACCTTTTTAAAAAGGTTTAAGGTAAGGTAAAGGTTTAACTTTTGATCTTAAAGGTCCCTAAGTCGTATCGGTCCGGAAAAATCGCCGGTGGTAAACAATTCCACAGAGAAGTTGTACGAGGAAGAAAACTCTTAATAAAACGTACAATCGTGGACCGCCAAGCATCCAGATGGCGAGGATGGTAACGTGAATTTTGACGCGATGTGCGTTCGTGAAATTTGGCGGCTGGATATTAATCCGAACAATTCCTCAGAGCACTCCCCGTGGTAGATTCGATAGAAAATGCAAAGGGATGCAACATCGTGTAGTGTATCGAACCGATCAGAATGAACTCGGTCGTCGACGATTCGAACCGCTCTACGCTGGATGCGGTCAAGTGAAAGGAACTGGCACTGGGGTGCCCCGGCCCAGAGATAAGAACAGTAGTTCCATGTGAGGCCGAACTTGCGCTTCAGGAACAATTATTTGTAGGCCATACAAACCTTGGTGCAGGATTGAAACCCAAGCCGTCAAAACTTGTTGTAACATTAATCATATTTATAGCAAACATTCTAATATACGTCTTACCATTTCCCATGCAGTTGAGTACAGCAGAGCCATTTAGATGAAATCCAGGCTGACAGCTGAAGTGAACCGAATGACCGAGCCTCCAGCCTTGTGCGAACAATCGGATTCGCGGCGAAGACACATTTATGGGTGGACATACTACACCTAAAATATAAAAGACAATTAAGTTCTATCAGAGGAGCTTTAATTAAGAAATAATAATAATATGCACATCTTTCTAACCGATTACAATACAGCTGTCTTCAAGGAGAGAGTAAATAGGCTTTTGTTGCGCTAAGGTAGTGCGATTTACAATCTAAGACATTATCACTTACTATAAGGTGGAAGTTCAGCCCTGGTTTATAATAAGTTAAAAAAAATGGTAGTACCAGTACTTCAATTACAGAATTTGGTTACAGGTATGGAGAAATTGCTGCTGAACTCTAAGGTTGAACTCTAGTGTTAGAACTTATGAAATGCGCACTTGAAGTTTTAAGTGCTGCAAAAATAGGTAGCCTATATTCCCGTAGTCTTAGTAGTAGGGGAATTTTTCTTCCCAGTAGTCTCCTCAGTAGTAGACTAATGATTTTTTTTTATCTCAGTAGCCTTACTAGTTAGGTATACTTGGTGAGAAAATTATTAATAATCTTACTTGTAACACTATTTGGAGAGATATTTGAGACTATAGGGTCTTACTTACAGTAAGACAACTGAAAAGAAAATTCCCAGTTGTCTTACCAGTAGAAGACTGCTGAAGAGAAAATTCCCAGTTGTCTTACTAGTGACCCTACTTAGTACTCGTAACACTACTGGGAATGCCCCCAAAAATACACGTAGCAAGTGTCGTATGAAAAAGCATCGCTTGACCACTCATTAGCGCAGTAGCTAGCGTATTTGTTATGCGCTGCATGTTACATACCAGCACTGATCAAGTACTTGAACGAAAAGGGAATGATATGTAAAACGCCAAAACAATACAGAAGGATGAAATTAGTTTTACGTATTTTATCGCAATTTATGAATTTAATTTATATTCGTTCCTGACGTTTCGAGAACTTAACAGCATGGTATGGGTAATGGTAACGGGAGGGGGATACAAAACGCCATAAAATTCGTAAAACTAGTTTCATTTAATGTGCTGTGTTGGCGTGAACATACCTACATAATAAACCATTGATACCAGATATATACCTATAGTAAAGATACTGGTGAAATTCCTAGTGGGGTGACCATTTTGTTACCTCAATGTAAAGATAGTGTAAGTATAGAACCTCTTTTGTTTTGTGCCAAAATAGAATATCCATTACCCCATATCGTCCCGTGGATGTCGTAAGAGGCGACAAAGGCAAACTAAAACAGAAGATGGGTAGGAGCATCTTCCTGCTAACTACTCAAAATGATAAAAAAACTATAGTTGCCAACCCGCCTGCCAAGCGTGGCAATTATGGCAAAATCCTCCCTGTGAGCAATCTTTGGGAAAGCCTATGTTCAGCTGTGGACTTTTATAAGCTGCGATGGATGTAATGGATATCTTAGACTAACAAACGAAAACGCTAATGTAAAAAATTTATGTTATACTCTTTATATAAAATTCAATTGCTCTCGCTAAAACTCAATAACGACTCGAGCGGTAGACCTAGATAGTTTAGATTTACATTTAGACCCGGTAGGTGGCGCTATTGTCGTGATCCAGAAATCACTCGTGCAAAGCCGGCGCGGATCGGTATTTAATAATAAACATTAATTTATATCAACAAGACTCACTAACAACTTTAATTGTTATGGTGTTTGTGTGTCCACCAGGCGATGTGCATGTATACTGGTCGCTGTGACGCGCAGACATTTTGGTTAAGGTCAGGCGATAATGTGTCTCTTTCTCACCATCGTTTTTAGCCCACGCTGAAATTAAAAATTCCTAGTAATGTCATGTTTTTTTATATACAATAAGTGTGACAAACGAGCACACAGTCCACCTGATGGTAAGTAGTTGCTGTGGCTCATAGATATCTACATCCATTCTCAACTACGAATCAAAATGCAGATACGTTGTCACCCGTGAGGACTAAGATGGAATGCCTCGATTACAGTAAAAGGGTCTCCGGTTCTCTACACTCACAATACGAAACACAGCAGTATTAAGCTGCTATTTTACGCTGGTAATCTGTGCGAGCGTGGTCCTTTCCCAGTCGAGCCGACTCATTCGTGCTACAACTATACTGATATAGCTGCAGCAAGGCCCTACCACGTATAAAGTATGTTAACATATTTTAATTAATAAGTGCTACAGATTTGTATAGTATATGACATTGTTAATCATGTTTTACCACGCGTTCGACAGTGAAGGAAAACATCACGAGGAAATCTGCATGTTCAAGAAATTAAAAAAATATTTAGAAGAAACAGCTACATTTTTGTTCAATATAGATTATAAATATTACTTATTAGTCACTCTTTTGTTCAATTTAGCATTGGTTCGGAAAAAACCTCTGTCCTGAGAACCAGCCAGTAAGAAACCCAGTGGGAATGTCTCTTTTTGAAAAAAAAAACGAGAAGAAGCAGCCAGCAAGAAACACAGAGTGCTCTGAGGAATTGTTCGGAATAATTCCAGCCGCTCAATTTCACCATCGCACATCGCGACAAAACTTGCGATACCATCCATACCACCTGGATGATTGGCGGTCCACCACTGTGCGATTTAGAAGATGTTTTCTTCTTCGCACAACTTCCTTGTTGAATCGATTACCATCAGCAATTTATCCGAACCGATACGAATTAAGCTGAAGTAGAAAGAAGCTTGTCCGCGCCGAATTTTAGAATTAGTTGTATGATGAAATCATATGAAACCTCGCACATTACACCCGCACCGTACGCGCCGAATTTTCTGCCGACTTCCAAAAAAGAGACGGTACTCAATTCGACTGTATGTTTTTTTTATGTGTGTTACCTCATAACTTTGTACTGGGTGAACCGATTTCGATGATTCTTTTTTTATATGAAAGCTGATAGTTCTCGTGTGGTCCCATGTGAATTTGATCAAGGTCAGACAAATAGTTTTTGAGTTATTCTTAAATAACTTATATTGAAGTCGGCTGTACAAAATTTTTATTTTAAATTATATAAAATGCGGTATGTATACGATATCGAAGGACGAATGCTGATGTCGTCATATAACGCGGCGCGTGCTGATACTCAGTGTGCTCTAATGTTGCCAACTTAGTGGATTTTCCACTATAACTGGTGGTTTCGACTTACATGATAATTTTTGTATTTTTATAACTTTTAATTCATTCGTAATTAATTATACATAATTTGATTTTTTTTTGCATCGATTACCAATATGTATACTTAGCCATAAATTATTTAAATACTGAACTAACAAAAAAATAGTTAAATTTAATTCAAAAACCCAATTATACCTGATAACTTAATTATCAATAAAAATACTTACATCAAACATACAACAAGTCTTTTCTCTGGTTCAATTGGCCTTCTAAATCTTGAGTTTTCCATAGAAAGATATGGTTTTAGTATTTTTTTTTAATTGAAAAACTTAAATGTAACACCTTAAGGTAAAGGGTACCAGGGTTGACTGGCAGAGAATGCCATATGGCATTCTCTGCCAGTCAACCCTGGGTGCCAAAGAATAGAATAGAATAGAATGATTTTTATTCAATATGGATTATTACATAATACTTATTGAAAGTAACATTAAAATAATAATAAGCCAAAGATAATTAATTGTAGGCAGGTGCGAAACATAATACATAAATAAAGTGTATTTATCTTTATATATAAAAATTACGTATCACGTTGTTTGTCCGCGATGAACTCCTAAACTACTGAACTGATTTCAATGAAATTTTGCACACTCTGTGCAGTTTGGTCCAACTTGAGATATAGGATAGTTTTTATCCTCATAAGTGACACTCAATACTTTTTATTACGAATTTAAGGATTTTTTATATGAAGGGTCGTCAAAAAGGGAAGAACAGCGTCTACCTGGGCAGCTAGTACTAAAATATAATATATACATAGTACATACATAGAAATATATATAACATATATTTACATACAATAATACATACATACATATATGTAATGTGTATACATGCTTATAAACTTTATAAATATCCATATTAATATATAAATAAATAAACATTTGAAGAAGAAAAAAGTCAGTTAGTAAGTGCCTTCAGGTAATGTTGTCGTAGAAGTAATTTAAATGAGTTTCTATTTGTAGCATTCTTAATATCGTCGGGGAGGGTGTTCCAAAGATGTATAGCTTGTAACGTAAGCGAGGACCTGAAAAAATTAGACCTACGCTGTGGAAACCTTATCCTCAGACGGTTTGATTGTCGTGGTATTCGACCGTCAATCGAATAAAGAAAATGAAAGCTATCCTTAAGATAAGAAGGCGACCTTGGATCGTTTAAAATTGAATAAAGTACAAGTAATATTCTAGAGCATCGCCTTTGACGTATAAGTAGCCATTTAAGCTTTGAACGATAGGAATATATGTGGTCATACTTACGTAAACCGAAAATAAACCTTATGGAATTATTAAGAAGTCGCTACAACTTGTTTAGAAGATTTTGTGACAAATCTGGGTAACATACATCTGCATAATCTATAATAGGTAGAATGAGGGAATGAACAAGCGTAAGCTTGGTTTTGAAAGGTAGGAAATTTTTAAGACGATAAAGGGAACGCAAGGTGGCAACAACTTTACGACTAACTTCAGAGATCTGCAATTTCCAGGTCATAGTTTTGTTATGATTGGGTTATGTTTTAGTATATGTAGCAATTCTTGAAATTTCTTGTATGTTAAATGCAAATATCTAAAAAATCGTTCATCATTATCTAATAAGTCTTTAAATAAAGTATATCCCCTTCATATTCTGCATACAATTGCCTTTTTTTAAATTAATATTATTATTCCAGAATCTCCTTTTTCTTTGAATTTTATTTTCTTCTTCCCCTCCTAATAAGCAGCTATTACTATATTTCTTTCCATAGTGATTTCGAGCGTACAATTTCACTGTACCATTTCACACCAGTGGTTGGAAAAAACTACAAAAGTTGTTGGTAATACAAAAGATTTGCGTACGGCGCGGACGATGCGTACGGGCAAATGTGCGAGGCCATTAGTAAAACTCGGCGCGTACGGCGCGTACGATGCGTACGGTGCGGACAAATGTGCGTTCTGCTTTAGAGACCTTCAAGAAAAGAGTACTCCTTACTCCTTTATAAAAAGCCGGCAACGCAACTGCAATCCCACTGGTGTTGCAGTTGTTCATGAGCGGCGGTAGTCACTTACCATCAGGTGAGCCGCATGCTCGTTTGCAATCTTGTAAACTCCCCAATCAGTGACAGTGGCAGATGGCAGACCACAATCATTTCAAAAACACTAGTATTTCGCGTATAATCGATCAAAACACTGCTATTGCCATTAAATATTGAACATAATATAGTGTGAGCTATATCTTATACAATTATCTATACAAATAAATAAAATTGAAGTGTCTGTTTGTAATGTTAAAATAACGGCTTTTTACTAAATGCATATGAAAGTATATACGGTTCCAAAAAAAAAAACAATTATTAACATTTTTGTCTGTCTGTTTGAACCGGCTAATCTCCAAAACGGCTGGATCGATTTTGACGGGACTTTCACTGGCAAATAGCTGATGATATAAGGAGTAATTTAGGATACGTTTATTTTAGAAAAAGAATGAGGATTCCGTAAGTGTAATTCTACGCGGGCGGAGTCACGAGGGACAGCTAGTAGAGAAATAAAATATATTATGTACTTTTCCAACAGGCAATGAAGAAGATGAAAGAAACTCGACTCATCCTCTTCTATTGATTAAAGATTTGACAAAGTGGATTTGTACTTATTACTGTTTCTTATGAAATACAAACATTCAACATGCTAATGTGAAGCACTCACCAGCACTGTGTTGTCCTAGAGCTTGCGTCCAACTCCATTCAGGGTCTCCCAATGCACATAGCACAATGCAATCTAGCCACAGTGTACTTTCAGGATAAACAAACAATTCTCCTGAAGGCTCCACTACTGCTGAACCACTTACAACAACATATTGAATGGATGGCGGTGCATCACCTGAAATACATAATATTAACGATAGCTTTCCAGTGGAAATTAAAAATATAATAATAATGCCTACTTCATAAGTGTTTATTAGTAGTAGCTTTATTTCTGTTACGAGTTCATCCGACCAACCCAATGTATGAAAACAAGCACTGAATTAAATCGGAATTAGTGATTATAATAGGATTATTAATTACTGCACGTAATTCAATCTTATTTATCAAATAAATAATAGTTTAAAAAAAAACTAAAAAAAAACACGCTTTTGTAGATATCAGAACCAAAAAATAGAAAATAATTTTCACTAAGTTTAAAATTAGAAAATAGTGATTAACATAAAAAAATAATTTTATTGTAAAAAGCGTGGGAAAGTTTTTCAGTTATTTTTATGATGACACTAATTTTACAGATATCCTACACAAAAATATTTACAAGAAATGACATCAAACACCCCATGTTTGATGTCATTTCTTGTAAATACACGCTTTTTTGCAATAAAATGAATTTTTATGTTAATCAATATTTTCATATTTTAAACTTATTGAAAATTATTTTCTACTTTTTAGTTCGGTTATCTACAAAAGCGTGTCTTTTTTAGCTTTTTTAAACTATTATTTATTTTATATTTTTAGTGCGGCTAACTACAAAAGCGTGTTTTTTTTTTGGAACGAAGTTCTTTTACGCGGCTTACGGTAGATTGAACTGGTAGAAATTGTAGTTGTTTTATGAGTTATTCGCAAATCTTGAGGATTCAGGCAAGGATAATGGGACAAACTACTTAGATTATTGCCTTGTCATCGGTCCTTGATAAGTGTGCGAAGTTTCAAATCAATTCGACGTTTTGAAGGGGATGAAAATCACATTCACAAATTCCGTTACATAGATACATAGCAAACTAATAAAGGCGTGTTAAAAAGGATTATTACCTGTAAAGTTAGTAATAAGTGAGGTTGGCACACATTCAGGGAATTTCGGGCTCCATTCTCCATTTTCACATCGCACTTGGCTTTCACCTTTTAATTTGTATAATCCAAAGTGTTTACATTTTGATACAACTAATGAACCATGAGGGAAGTATGTCTCTTTCTGTAGGAAACCATGAAAAATTGACTTTGTTCTAAAATATTAATTGACATAAATCGTAACATAATAACTAATATGAAAGAAAGGTTTCTAAATAGCCCTATATACTGTAGTTATACTGTAGTGTGGAATATTTTTTATAGGGGAAGGGTTACAAATAAGCACACAGTCACAGTAAGTAGTTGCTGTGGCCCATAGACATCTACATCCATCCTTAATTACGAATCAAAATACAGATACGTTGTCACCCATGAGGACTAAGATGAATGCCTCGTTTCCAATAAAAAGGGATATATTCCACCAAATACACACATCGACAGAATTTTATTAAAAATCTTTTTAGCTTCCATAAAAAGTTGATATACATATTGAAACCACTTTAATTCCATTTTCAAAATTTAAAAAATGTAAATAAAAAAGTCAAGGAAAATTATTTTTTTTTACTGATATTAATTATTAATGAAAAGGGATTAGATTGTTTTTCTTTTTTAATTTAACGTGCCGTGTGAGCTATAAGAGTCATGTCACGTCGTCATTTGAGTCGAGATGAAATGTAACGAGCCGTGGGCTTATTAGAAAATGGTGCTATTCAACGCGTCGTTGCTGAGGCCCTACACCCAGCGAAAACGTGATATCAAGGTTGTGGTCACGTTATTGTAGTACTGGGGATGTAACTGAACGGCACTCGGGTAGATATCGTGTTACTACGTAGAGACAGGATCGATTTCTCCAAATGACCGCCAGAAGACAACCCAATATCACTGCCATGCAACTACTACAAAGGCTCCAGGAGGACCACCAGCTGATCATCAGACCAAAATGATGCGGTTTGAGTTTCATCCCGATTCACGAAGAACACGCGTTTGGAAAACTCCAGGGAGAGTTAGCCGTCTACGGCAGCCTCAGGAGGTCCACTCATACCAAGGCTGGACAATCATGGTGTTGGTAGGAATTCTTTTAGGCGGACGAACCCAGCTCGTTTGGATCCAAGGCAGCATGACAAAAATACCACGAGGAGGTAGTAGAGTATGTTATTGTCCCACACAGAATCCAAATGAGCCAGGAATTTCTACTCATGCACGATAATGCTCCTTCCCATACGGCGCGGCTGGCCGGCCGCTCTCCGAAACCACGATATTCAAGTTTTGAATTGGCCTGCTCAGTCACCCGACTTAAATCTTATCGAGTAAGGCTGGGACATGTTACAACGAAAAGCTTCGAGAGAGATATCCCGCCAAATTTTATAACGGAACAACAACTTTACGAACACTTACAAAGAACATGGGACCTCATACCACAGCAAGACATTAACGAATTAATTTTAAGTATGAACAATCGATGTAGATGTGTAATTAATGTGTGACAGCACTGATTATTAATAATTAGATTTTATAAGATTTTTTCAATTTTAATTAAAGTGATTTAATTTATAACAATAATTTTATTTTTGTTTAAAGACCTTAAAATAACCTATCATTCTTCCATTTACTATATCAGAAAATTATTTATAGACTTTTAGATATTTGATGAAATATAAAATATCCCTAGATTCTGTTGATGTGTTTATATAAAAGTGTTCTAGAAGAAGTGCAGTGTTTAAAGTACTAAGTCAAAATAAAAATGACAACAGCATTGCATCTGAAATACATTCCGTACAGCTAATGCAGCTGGCTATAGTTGCTGGAAAGGTATATAGCTGTATTTGGAGACCACAAGACTTTAGCTTGTTACTAATATTATGGTATATTAAGCCGTGAAGATCTGGCTGCTACAAGGCAGATATCAAGAACTTGACACTTTCCATCTGAAGACAATACTCTGTAAAGTGTCAAGATTGTCTATTATATAGGGAAATTTTACATTGCAGTGATACCAGGGATTGAAGTGCTGATTATGAAGTATCAAATAAGATAGTGTGACAAATTTTATGCCTTCACAAAAGTACATTGCCAAAGGCAGTATTTTACTTGGAAATCTAATGCAAAACGCATTAGCAATGTGGACAGTGACTTGCTATTTTCGGCTTCGGAGCCGAAAATGGCAAGGAGAACTATACTATATAATAATGAACAATGTTTATAATAGTAAAAAAACTAAATTTATCATACAGTTCTACTCTCTTTGGTATATTGCCAAGAGTGCTGGCTGCGTTTTCAAATTAGTGGAAACAGAATTCAAATTAGTGCAAAAGCATAATTTTAAGAAAAAAATATTTTAGGTTGTATCTGAAAAAAAAATCTTAAATCGTGACAGAAATTGCGAATGGGGTCGGAGATGATGAAGAGAGGAGGGAAGATCGAGAGATATTTAAGGGCAGTGATTTTAAGCAGCAGTTGAATATTATAATTTTGTTTCAAGAAGAAAATACTGAATGCATGTTCATTTACAAGTTAAGCGGCAGGAATTGAGTAGTAAAAAGGAGTTAAAAATATTAAAATGAGTAAGTAAATTAAATATGATAACTAGCAAAATCCTCTAAGTAAGAAAATAGGAGATTGTCAAATTGGAATTAGTTGGTATGAAAGCCATCCATTATAATAGTTCTGAATAATTTATAAATAATACAAATGTCCACACTTCAACTCAGTGTCGATGACATTACTTATTAAATACAGTCGACTTTCGATAACTTGACATTCGTAAATTTGAAATGTTTTCCCGGTCCCTTGAAAAATACTCGATAAATTTATTAAAACCAATATAAATTGGTACTATCGGTAATTTAAAGTTGAAGGAATAGTAATCTTGCCCGCCAACATGCAATAATTGGAAGTCTGGGCTTCCCTACTTTCGATAATTTGAAGCGTTCATCATGCACAGAGCTCTCATTTGTTTACATGGGTAAATGTACAGACCTGTCGATTGTTTACATAGGTACATGTACAAACCTGAAGCGTCGAAGCGTCACTAGCCTAATGGCAGAGCGCGGACTGCGAACTCGAAAGGTCGAGGATTCCAATTCGCCATTCGACTACTGTCGTGAACCACTTCTAACACAAGCATTTTAAGCTTGCCAGAAGTGGTTAAAGGGAATATCAGTAATGTTTAATAGCATTACTAGTATTTATAAAAAAAAACCTGTCGATTGTTAACATAAATGATAGACTTCCTTTCAAAATGAACATTTGTGAATAATTGTACAAATGTTAAAATAATAAATCACCAATTTTGATCAAACTTTTGTTTACGTTATTTAAGCCCCCTATCCCGCCCCCGTGGTTGTCTAAACTCCTGTTATTTGAAACTCTTGGTACCTAATATGAAATTTTTCTCTGTTCCCTTGAGCTTCAAATTGTCGAGAGCCGACTGTAACTACAAAGGAGTAGTAGAAACAAAACTATGTGGAATTTATGTTAGATAATTCTGTTCTGTGAGTTTTTTAACCGACAAAAAATATAATAGGAAATTAATTAAATGAACTCAATAAATAGATATTATACAAATATTCTATTGCATTAAGCAACTTGTCAAATGGTTCTCAATAAATCTTATTAATATGCTTTTTATAAAACATAAAGCACTGACTGAAATCAATTTTTTGCACTATCTTGTTAATATGACGGAATCCATGCTTATTAAAACATAAATGTTCAAATTTGAGTTATATAAATTCGTGGAATGAAACACTTTTTCGTTAGACATTGGACATCACATTTAATGATATTTTTGGGTAGTTTAAGACAATTATGCGATTTTTCAAAAAAAAATCTATCTCAAATACTGTTTTCCTGCATTTTGATACTTTAGACGTGCATTGCATAAAAATATGAATTATGAACCCAATATTTAAAGTTGTTTTTTCTAAAGCCGAATCGGAACAGAAATCTGTATAGCAGAGGTCTGCTGCTACCAATTAATAAACTTAATTTTAAAGTACAATGTATATATAGTAGTGGTCATATAATTAGAAACACTTCTTATGAATAAAGAAAGTATAACTTACAAATGTACAACATACAAATGTTCGTAAAAATATACACATTCAATAAATAATAATCATGTAATCATAGAATTATTACCCATTATTATAATTCTATGCATGCAATAATATAACCACTCAAATAAAAAAACCCATTAAATGCATAAAATATAAAACATATCTTACTTCTAGTTACAAAATGAGTCTTATACATGTAGGGGTTTATTTTCTCTTACTGGCCGCTTGAACACCTAATTAGAAACATTTTAAAATAGGTAGCATCCATAGCTCGTTCTTTTTTTGAAATTGGAGAATAACATTTTTTTCTTGGCTTTTTCTATTATTTTGGCGGCAAATCAAAATTTAATCTGAATTTTATTTTGTTCATAATGGGCAAAAATAAAGCTGTGACGCGTTAACTAGGCAAATAATTGTTAATTTACATAATATAGGTCATAAGTGGGCGTACAGAGGAATAGCTGAGCATTTGAATTATTTTGTTAAGAAAGTTTTTAATGCAACTGATCATTATAAAACACATGGAACTGTTGAAAATGTTCTTAGAAGGGCTCGGCCAAGAAAAACCTCTCCAAGAGAAGATATGCTAATCGTTCGTGTTGCTAAAAAACCCAAGTAAAGGCTCCAACCAGAAAGTAGAAAGTAAAAATGAAGTTTTTTCGCCTGATGACCCGAGAAACATCTCATCAAGACTGATATGTCGAAGATTAGTGGAAGCTAAATTGTTTGGAAGAATCTCTCAAAAGGTACCGCTTCTTACCAAGCAACACCGAGAGAAGCGATTATTATTCGCTAAAAAATATGTTAATTGGACTGTACGAGAATGGAAAAAAGTGTTATTTGCAGATGAAACAAAAATAAATATGGTTATGGGTATTCCGATGGAAAGAGCTATTTTTAAATAAAACTAATTTTACGGATTTTATCGCGTAAATTAATCTTTTTTTTTTGTTTATACTCCCGACGTTTCGGGTGCTTTCCAGCACTTGAATTGAAGAAGAAGCTGAGCATTTGAATTATTTTGTTAAGAAAGTTTTTAATGCAACTGATCATTATAAAACACATGGAACTGTTGAAAATGTTCTTAGAAAGGCTCGGCCAAGAAAAACCTCTCCAAGAGAAGATATGCTAATCGTTCGTGTTGCTAAAAAACCCAAGTAAAGGCTCCAACCAGAAAGTAGAAAGTAAAAATGAAGTTTTTTCGCCTGATGACCCGAGAAACATCTCATCAAGACTGATATGTCGAAGATTAGTGGAAGCTAAATTGTTTGGAAGAATCTCTCAAAAGGTACCGCTTCTTACCAAGCAACACCGAGAGAAGCGATTATTATTCGCTAAAAAATATGTTAATTGGACTGTACGAGAATGGAAAAAAGTGTTATTTGCAGATGAAACAAAAATAAATATGGTTATGGGTATTCCGATGGAAAGAGCTATTTTTAAATAAAACTAATTTTACGGATTTTATCGCGTAAATTAATCTTTTTTTTTTGTTTATACTCCCGACGTTTCGGGTGCTGGAAAGCACCCGAAACGTCGGGAAAAAATGTGTAGTGTTCGCGTAAATATAAGAAATCATTATAGAAAGAGCTATGTTAGACATCCTGTAAACAATGCTTTTAATTATAAATACACAAGGTGTATAGTCAAGCACGGTGGTGGTAACATTAAAGTTCGGGGGTGTTTTTCCGGATGTAGAGTTGGACCCGTTCGGAAGATTGAAGGTACAATGGATCTATGGCAATACAAAAATATCTTAGAGCACACAATGATTCGGAATGACTCAGACGATCATTTGCCTGTAACCTAGATCTTTCAGCATGACAATGACCCTAAACACACGGCCAATAGCGTCAAATGTTTCCTTAGCGAACAGCGTATATCCGTTTTAGACTGGCCAGCAAATAGTACGTATTTAAACCCGATAGAAAATCTCTGGTATATTGTTAAAAAGAAAGTCTCAAACAAACATAACATTAGTAAAAACGAACTACATGAAGCATTTGTTGAAGCATGGAATTCAATCCCCCTAGAAAAATGTATGCAATTGATTGAATCAATGCCACATTGTTGCAGAGCTGTTATTGAAAATAAGGGCTATGCCACTAAATATTAATTATAACTATTGGTAGGCTGTGGATAGTAGCTATTTCGTAAATAACAATACTAATTACTAATACTTAAAAAAATATTGTTTTTTATACTTTTTGTTGTTGTTTCTGATTAGTTGACCATTATTGTTCATACCTTAAAACTGATTTAAATGTTTGTCCGTAAATGAAACTGCACTTGTGTAATAGGATTTATATTGTTTTTCTAATAAATGATAAATCGTTGAACATATTATTGTCCTATTTATGGTTTAATCTATAATATAAAAATGAATCGCTGAATGTGTTGCTAAGCGCAAATCTCGAGAGCAGCTGAACCAATTTCGCTAATTCTTTTTTTATAATATTCCTTGAAGTACGAAGATAGTTCTTACGGAGAGAAAAATTAAAAAAAATTGCCTGATAAAGTCTAAAAACAACACTTTTCTATATTCCCATACAAAAGATTCGTAATAATACTTAAAGATCAATTTGAACTTTAATACCATACCATAAATTTTAAGTGTTAGTGGAGGGGTTACGGGAAGGCAAAACAATTGAGTGACGTTAGTATCGTATAAATATAAATGTCAATATTTATACACACTGGCAGATAGCTGATGTTATAAGGAGTAACTTGGGCTGCTTTTATTTTAGGTTTCTGCAAAAATAACTCCACAAGGGCGAAGTCACGGGGGACAGCTAGTTTCAAAATAAAAACAATTGCAGTGAAGTATCTTACATAATGTCAAGGACCGTTGGTAGTGTTTCTAATTATACGACCACCACTGTATGTTGTGAATCTAAACCATACATAATTATTTTCATATATATATCTGCAAATGTTATTTTTTTATCCTCTCAACAGTAAACACCATTGCAGTTACTAATACTGCCTGGGCCAAAATTTTATATTTTACGTAATTTGTGCTTTTTTGAATTATAATGGAATAATGACATGGTTTATAAAATAAACTATATAAAAACGTTATCTAGCTTTGTCTATCAACAAGCCATTCCATAAATATGAACAGGTCATGAAACCAGCAACACAGCAATTAAACGACATCAGCAGCAGCTGTATGGACAGTCTGGTGTCATGCCATCCCAGCTGATTTTACTGTTCAACCGCTATATAAAAATCAGTTACTGTCCGTTAGTTTCACTAACATTCAAAAACATTTTTTGTGTCTGTTTGAATGGGTCCCTAGATGGTTTATTTGGACATGGTAGGTGGCATTGTTGTCAAGATTCAGAAACCAACCATGCAAAGCTGGGATGAATCACTAGTCTTGTAATAAAACTTCACATTACTTACGTCTATAGAAGAGTTTTTGAATGAAATTGACAGTAGTGGATAATCATTGCGATATAAACATTCTCGCAAGATTGGCTGGAATCTGCCATCTACAAAAGATTAAAAAATATACAATGTAAATAGATTCATCTTCATACATATTTCATTATAAAACAACTGCTTTATGATACACTACCTGGTGTAGATGAGCATAAAGGACCAACCCAATTTCCATCAATGCACTTAATCTTACATATTAATCTTTCATTTAATGGACCAATTAGTCCAGGAAATTTCACCTGAAATGCATTGCAACTGGAATAATTTCATATGACAAAACTTACTTTTACTATATATTCTATTTTATAAAGTAATACCTCAGATATTTTGGAAAAATCAGATCTAAATCGTGTGATGTCCAAATTATCATCTATACTAGTGACATCAGGTAATGAACATTTAAACTCATCTGAAAGAAAGTCTTAATTTAAATCGTAGTAAAAATGCATAGTTTTTATATCTTTAACAGATATTGTGTATTAGGCTAAATTCTGGAGATTGAATCATCAAAAGAGTAGAGTAAACTACACGATTTTCCATAAAATAATAGGTACTTAAACCTTTTAAAATACTGTAGTACTAACAAGATTGTAGGGAACGAAAAAAAAGTACCTTGTGCGAAAGTCGTATTTCCTTCGCAGTTAATCACCATTGTCGATCCGAGTATAAATATTATTAAAATCTGAAACATGTTTTGCTTTTTGATTTCTTTATTCAAACACAATATAGTTTAGTACAAACTTTCTTTAATTTAATTCATTCTTCCCTTAAAAACCACAAAACCAAATAAACAAATTTTTTTTTAATAACTGCCTTTACGGCTCTGTGTTCTAGCCCTTCTGTGCCTAAAGTTACAATGTATAATTATCCTTCATAGTACACTGCTTCACAATGCGTTGAAGCGTCACATTGTGCGGCCCTTGGGAGATTTTCACGGCAACTTGAGCCAGCAGACAGATGACAGTTGGGGATGGTATCTCAAGGCGCCTAAGCAGACAGACACCTTATTGTATATTGAGTATTACATCACCATCAGATCACTTGTTTCACCATTTCCACTAATAGTTCTCATGCGCAGACACTTAATACACAAAATCGAACCACTTTTAAATATCAAAAACTAATTCAAACCATTATTTAATAATACAGTCAAGTTTCCGCCAAAACTGTTGTTTATAGTTTAGGGCTCTTTGTATGATTAATGATAAAGTACTTTGGCAAAATCCCCTCGCAATGATCACAAGGTGATCTGCATAAACCAATAAGTCAATGCGAAGGTCTGCCATCTTGTACAATAATTGGTCTACTGCAAGAGACCAAAGGAGGGGTGACAAAACACCTCCTTGTGGACATTTCCTTGTAGTGGCACCTCAATCGAAATTTGAAACAGCTCTGTTTTTGCCTTTCTGTTTGAGAGCATTCACTCCACCCACCTGATGGTTGAGGGGTCACCAAAAGTGTTGCCCCGCAATCATCGCAGATGTCAGGACCCAAACCAGTAGTGATGTAGGGCTACTGTAGAAGGAACCCTCAATGTCTAGAAAGGCACAAAGAGCTATTTCTTTATCCTCCAGCGCTTTTCGACCCTGTCAATAATACTGATCAGGGATGTTTCCGTAGATTTGCCTTTGCGGTAAGCATGCTGGTTGTAGTGTATAGGTTTCGTAGTTAGAGCCACATGCCTAATATATAACCTTTTCCAATGTCTTAAGAAGAAAGGAAAAAATCTTATAGGTCTAAAGGACTTTGGTAAAGGGTAGTCCTTTCTACCGGCCTTAGGTATAAATAGAATGTTGACGATTGTCCATCGTTCTGGAATATATCCCCATGCAAAACTTGCTCTGAAGATTTTCACCAGATAAGGAAGAAGGATATCGATACCCCTCTGTAGATGGATGGGCATTATTCCATCCTCCCCACTTTTCTTAAAAGGAGTTTAAAGGAGTCAACAGCCCACTGCACCATGTTTGACTTTATTATCTTTGCAGCCCTACACCAGTCCTCATTACAAGGCCTTCGTAGGGCTCTGAAAGAGTTCGAGGCTAGAGTCTTATGTGACCCTGGGAAATAGGTTGAGGCTAGTAGCTCGTGTTTCCGTTTCGCTATTAGTGAAGTTACCATCAGGCTTTTTAAGAAGCCCGACCTGAATAGGTTTAGCTTTCGATAGTATTTTGTGTAGTCCTGCACTGCGAGGCAAAGACTCAACTTCCTCGCATAGCTTCCTCCGATATGCTCGGTACCTCCTCCGTATTGCCCCACTAAGCTTGTAAGGCCTAGTGAACTTTATCTTTTCCCCTCCGTGGTTCGTTTGCGACTGTGGTTCGCCTACAGATATGCCCTCCACTTCTCGGCTCGTCCCATGTTAGGGCGTAGAGTTGCAAGGTGTTGGTGAGGCTAAAAGAGCCTTCTCCAGACCTAGAGACAGTTCCATTAAAAAAGAGTGTAGGGTAGACTGGGTACGGTTGAAACGGTGGACGTTTGAAACAAAACCAATATCTCGACACCTTGCGTGATGAGGTGAGGAGTGCAAAGGGAGAACGAAGCGGGAGACAAGTCGAAACATGAATTTTAGTGTTGCGTCGCTCTTCGCGCGCTGTGCTTATGTATAGGAGGCCCCATTGTGTTTTTTGACGGAAAAGTATTTCTGTTCGTACAGTTTTTGCAATTATTATGGTTTTATTAAAGTTAAAGTATTAAGGGTGTTGTATCGTTTTATTTGAAGTTTGTAGAATATGGCTGTATGATTGGTTTTTATTCAAATTTATTATCATTCTTACTGTGAACCGTTTTATACCTAGAAGGGGGGTTGGGGACAGTTGAAACATTTTTTGTGGGTATGGTTGAAACAGTTTATTTATTTAATTTTCTTGTTTCTTAGATGCCAAATGTACGCCAAAGGAAGACTACAAGAGGTCAGGCCGACTTATCAACGTATAAACAAGCCTATGAAGATGTAAAAGCCGGATCTTCGTTAAGAACAGCGGCAGAAAAAATGGACTGAACCATTGTTCCCTGTTGAGGTATAAATGAGATACGACTGGTGGTGATGAAAATCAATAAATGGGATATAAGACTTACTTTATTTTTAGATGTGCAGACATATATTTTGGCCAAACTAAAAAGGATGCTGTCAAGACCTTGGACTTGAGATGACAATGAAATGGCTGGTGACAAGTTATTCATATTTCCACGGTAGAGCGACCCATTCGTGCTACAATTATACTATTTATAGCTGCAGCATGGCTCTACCGCGTCAAAATGTTATCTTTCCCTCTCCACTGCTAACAAAAACTCCAACTGCTTGATTAAAAATAATGTTAGATTATAAGTATCATGAAAGACTTGAATATTAATAAAAGAAAATATTTGTGATGTTCAACTGTACAATTAAGAGTCCTAAAATGTTATTAGACGATGAATTAAACATGTTCATTAATTATATTTTCTATTATTTGTATTTTTCAATTGACCCCAGGCACTGTTTCAACCGACCCTGGCAGGGGGACGGTTGAAACAAATTAATTTTCTTTTTAAATTTGATTTTACACACAAAATACAATACAGTGATCTCAAATAACATTACCCATTAGAAAACAGATATATGGTCTTTTAAATAATATATTTCAGTCATCGCTCGCTTAACTAATTTAGATGCAATGGACGATAAACACTAAAATGTTTCAACCGTACCCAGTCTACCCTATTATGTCCAAATGTCGATCTTCGTCCATTTTGGTCACACGATTAGCTAGGGAAAAATTCGCTCACCCTCGGCAGAGCCCCGCATGCCGAGGGAAGAGCTAAAATACTAACCGAATCGCCCTGGTCTCGGGTAGGAACCGTTTGCGAATGGACTCCCTCCCAGCATCCATCGACACGGTATGCTTAACACCTTGGATTGGGTTAAGATACGAAAAAAGGGGGTGGGATAAAAATAAAAGAAAAATGAGGACCGTCTGAGTGTTTCCGTTCTGTCTGTTTCCTATTGAACCAGACCAAATAACAGGCGGCAACCACGTGAAGGAAAAACTCCTCAGACGTGCCCTGGGGATCAACACGACCTGCGCTCTCCTCTAGAACCATTCGCCAAACTGCTCGCCGGACAGGAGAGCAGATAAGTGTTAATCTAGTTAGGAGTAGACAAATCCCCGCCCAACGGGTAACTTATTGTTTTTTTTTCGAAATGTTTAGAACTAACATTGTTTTTAGATCATATTCTATTCGATAAATGTAATTTCAGATTTATTGATTTATCATAAGACTCAAATTATATGCAACAAATTTCAAAGCGAGTTAGACGCGGGTGCTGACGCGCGTGGCATGCGCGTCGCGTGTAAGTGTCGTTGGAACGCGCCCTTATTTGTAGAACTTACTCCTGTTGAGAAGTATCAATTGCAAAGAAGGAGAAAGGTTCGGCACGTAGTCATAATGAAAAATCTAAGTATTGTCATTAATTAATTTATTTTTCATTAAAAAAACGTTACCCCCACACTAGGATTTTCTCCTGTATCGTGGAGGCAGTTTACAAACACAAATTGCACAAGGACAAACATCCAGACCCGGAACAATTATTTGTAGGCCATACAAATACTTGTTCCGTGCGGGATTCCCAGCGCAGCAACTCATTGCTAAGCCACTGCGCCACGGAGCCGTCAATTTATAAACTTGCGAATTCGTTTGTGTGCGGGAAATTGCGAAAAAGGATATTAACGGATTTCTTTAAATACTAGCTTGCTGCAACAACTTTTTGCGTTCTGTTACTTAAAAACGAATTAATAAATTTAAGAAAACACATAGTGTTATTTCTCGTGGTTTTTTTTATAGGATACGGTGACAAACGAGCACACAGTCCACCTGATGTTAAGTGGTTGCTGTGGCCCATAGACATCTAGATCTATCCTCGCTTGCGAATCAAAATATAGATGCGTTGTCACCCGTGAGGACTAAGATGGAATGCCTCTTTTCCAGTAAAAAGGGTCTCCAGTTCTCTACACCCACCATACAAAGCAGTTTTAAGCTGCTATTTTACGCTGGTATTCTGTGAGAGCGTGGCCCTTCCCCGGTCTAGCCGATCCATTCGTGCTACAACTATACTACTAATATATATACAGCATGGCTCTACCACGTATAAAATGGTGGTGGATACAATCGAAGGCTTTGGATAGGACAAACGATGTGACAACATACAACTGGACAGCAGATCTCAAAATGCATACGGTGAGACTCACGCAACTTAAATACAGCTCGTATTGAAGTAATGGTTAAGCGGAACTAAGGCTCTACAATATTTGTTTTCAAGATTGTCCTGTCAGTAAGAAAAAGCCAACTGTCAAAGTTGAAGACCAATTGTTATTTCCGGAACACTGGATGTAATTACAGCTGAGCTTTAAAAGCAGGTGGAAAACTGGTACTTGAAGTCCTGTTATCTATGGTAGTAGTACTAACCTGGTGTGGAGCAGAAGTTGGGAATGTTTTCGAGTGGCAACCTTGTTCTAGTCATCGAAGTGTAGGGAAACCCCCCACTAGATGTAGCGAAGACCTGGTAAGAGATGCAGGGGACTCAGGACGGTGTTTAGTGGCATACCTTGGGGGAGGCCTATGTTCAACATTGGACTTGTGATGGGCTGTAATGAATCGTGATGATGATCCATCTATAGCGAAGGTATCAAGAAGAAAATAACTGTTTTTATTCACATAATCTGTATTTTAAGTTACCTATTAACATTGAAAAAGAAGCTTACCATTACACCAGCATCCAGCATTAGATAGCGCTAGTAGCCTTATACTTCTTTATTGTGCTTACAGTAAGTAGTAAGATAGGTTATAAAAAAATAAAACAAAATTAAAGCTATTTTGAATAGTATTTATTAGAATAATATTTAAGTTTTAACAGCATGTGAAACATTATAAAGACGTTCGTTCATACAATAAATTATTATAGAGTGCGTTGTACATACATCACATTATGTTTAGAATTCTAATCTCTTCTTCTAGCACTAATAACAAGCAGAGATAACAATTCAAATTCCGTACTATTGTTTTTGCCTTAAAATTGGGTACCTACATAAATTGCAATTTACAACTAATTATATTTATTCGAACAGAGAAACCTCGCTATAGAAAGGTAATATATTAAAAAAAATGTTGACGTTTGATAATTAACACTTAAAATTGCAGTTACAATTTTTATTGGTACCGACGGGGACCGAACCTGGGTTTCTCGCGTACTGTGAAGTTTACAGAAAGCCCTAAAGCTTAACTTTACCTTTTTGAGTGTACTAATGAATATCACAAGGTTAAGGTAACATCAACTACAATGTAGTGTAAATAGTTACAATAATAAAATTTCTTTAATCAAAATTTATATGGGACTATCTCTGATAAGAGTTGCCAGCACCTAATGGCCGAAGCCGAACACAATCTCGGACCATTGGTAAGATCGAGGTTTTCCCTCAGAAACTTGGCAAAAAATGTTTACTAATTTTTTTTTTTCATTTTCATTTTTGTTATTCATTTATTATATAGGTTCCTTGCTGTTTTATGAACCACGATTTAAAATTCGACATGATGTCGAATTTGTAAATCGTAGGTAGGTACTGCAAAACACATGAAACGTTCTTCGCATTAAGTGATTTTGTTGTGTTACCGGAAGAGAGCCGTAACCGAGTACTACTACTATGTTGGGACGAGGAAACGTCGCGGTAGAAACGTCGCAGCATACCCTAGGGAATTGCACAGCTTGGTCTAAGTCTTAGTTTTGTGGCTGTAGTGGGTAATGATCTGTCGCTTCCAGCCTTTAAACAACAGATACCCGTTGGAAAGTAGTTTTATTTATAAATTAAATATTTCCAGGTAAACTAGGACATATTTTGTGAACCCCTACCAGACAGCCCCCGGACATTCCGAAAAGTAGCAGCAAAACTGTGGAAACTCGGACAAATGGCAGCCCTACCCTTGAAATAACCTATTTAATAAAAATATCAATGAAATAATTGTTAACAATTGACAAATATATCGTGTAACATAATACAAAAAAGAACATAGCAAAATTGGGAACCTACTCTTTTTTTGAAGTTAAAATTGTAACCATTACGCTAAGATACACATCGAAAAAAGCACAAGGCCTAAACACATTTCAGAGATTTTCAAGGCATCCACAATCTTATCACTATTTTAGAATATTGAGGCAAGGCCACTGTAATCATGACATTAAAAGCTAGATTTTGTGTAATGAAGATAGAAAATTTGCAATTTCTTGAAAATTAGCAAATATAAAAGACTAAGTTATTAAAAATAACGGAAGCTATTTTATGTTACCAAATCTTTGAAGACTTAATAAGCACACGTTTGCATTCTTAAAATAAATAAAAGTCTTAAACTTACATGTCATCATCATCACAACACAAGTCTACTGCTGAACTTAGGTCTCCCCAAAGGAATGCTAAACAAGGTCCTAAGTCACCTACATCCATCGAGGGCCTTTCTACACATTGCTTACTGGTACAAGGTTTCCACTCAAGAATATTTCTTACCTCTCTATTGTCAGTTCCTAGTCATATGTTGGGTACAATGCCACTACATTTTCATTGCTAATCCATTGGATTGTCGGTTACTTTAGTTCTACTGTGATTATCCTCATTATGTAGTCTATCACAGAGAAACTTCCAGCATAGCCTTCTCTTTAACTTACATATTATATATACCCCTCCTTAACTTACAAACGTACTTATTACATATTAATTAATGGTATAAACTGCTAAGTTCATAAGCTAGAAATGCTTCAATAGCTAGCTAACTGGGGTAATCTTTATTAAATTAGTGCATACAGCATACTCAAAAATAACAGATGTTAGAAAAAATAAATTACGTACATCACTGAATTAAAAATAAGTTTTAAAATAGAAATAACATTTATAAATCTAATTTACATTAGGCACAATTGGGAAATAAATATTGTAGTTATAATCAGTCTTATATTTAGGCACCGCAAATTCACAACGTTTGTGTTTGTAATAAGTATAAAAACATAAAAATATTTTTATAAATTACAAAAATTTTTATGTCCATTTGGCAAAAAGTAGTTAATTTTTAGTTAAGATTTCCCAAGTTAAGGTAAAATAAATTAATTAAAAAAATATATGCCATTCAACAGCCAGTAAAAAACTAGACCTGGTCTGAGGATTTGCAATAAAATATCTGTCAGTGCTTTACAATTTAAATTATAGCAATAAACAGAGAACAAATTTTGCCTATTCAGCAGATCTAACATCTTGAAACCATTTGAATAAATTAGGCACTGTAGCTTAACACTGACAACAAAATTAATAACATTTTTATATAAGAAAATATTCCTATTAAAAACAGACATTGTAATACATACTATATTGCATAGAGAGTATGAATATATCATTGTATTTTATGTATACATCATATCAAGCAAGAGCGGAATGCAGTTCAATGTCAAATAAAGACATCTTATAATATGAACAAGGTTGGCAGTTAGGACTAATTAAAGCAATGATAAAATGTTTAAAACTTGAGAATATTGGCATTATGGTTATACGTTAACATTTAAAAATGGTTGACTATTACTTAATGTGAATAAAACACTACACATAAATGTTTTCAGATATCAACACAGATCAATAAAGACTTACTATAGTAGTCTAACATTTTGATCAATATATTATGTTCTATTTAAAGTATTTCTATATTAAAATATATAGCTTCATATTTTCATCCCAACATATTTCATGAGATATTACCATATTGCTCAGCCCATAATACATAATAATTGTAACGGTAACAACATTCTTGAGAAACAAACTTTTCTCATTATGAATATACATATTATGTTAGCCTCAATGGTGCATAATGTATCAATAAAAGAAATAGCTTAGATTTAGTAGATAGATTCATACAAAACCTTAAATTTAAATGTGTGAAATCTTTACAAAACAAAGCATTATAAATGCTAAAACATACTAACTTATCATTAAGATTAAAACTCAAATTGATTTTTAATACATTATTATTTCCTGTAGGGTTTCTCATTAACATTTCTCAAAATGGGAATTCCCGAGAAATTTGCCCACATTTGAAACAAGAGAAAAGTGGATGATATAGGGAAAGTAGTACTGGTAGTCCTTAAATAAGTAAATAAAATAAAACATAGTAATCCAGTATATCGAACATGTACCATTTATATAATGCCTTTACGAATTGTGATACAATAGCAATAGCCAAAAAATATATCATGATAAAATTCATGTGATTATTCAACTAACTGTCCAATGTTTCTTAGTCGAGCTGATACAAGGCTGAGCGCTTTACGATTTTAAAAGAATGAATTCAATCAAACAATAGACTGTGTTATTAATATAAAGTAAGCTACATAATTAAGATAATATTCGATATAATAAGTAACCTACAAAGACTAAATAATTAATAAATGTTGATGATTATTAAAAAGTGTACTTTTATTTTGTTTATTTTTTTTTCAAGAAAGTTATTTCTCTCAAAAACTTAAAAATTTCTCAACATCTAGAGAATTTTTTAGAAGTTCTAGTCGCCAATTCCCGGGACTTGAGACAAAATATAAGTCAAGAGATGAGATACCCTAATTTCTTGTGATTCATGATAATAAAGATTGTTTTTAACAGAGTAGGGAAACTGGCAATAATTACATCCAATATGCATAAAACTAAATATTTATAGCTAATTCCATGTTCTGAACTCTATAGTTGTAATATATTATATCAAACATTCTACAAGTATGAATTCATCTAAAATTAATAATATCTCATATAAAGTACACCTGTTCATATTAACTGATGAGATCATTTGATTTAAAAACTATTGGAAATAGAAACAATATAGTAAATACAACATTACAGTATGTAAAAATGATAAAAAGTAAAACTTAATTTACATAGGTACTGTCAAACTTAGAAGTAAAACATATCAGGGATTGAAAACCTGTTTTACACGTTGTTATGGTTCTTCATTTAAGTTCTAATAATAATTCCACTTTCTAGTATGGTTAAGGCTGTGGTCTCAGTTACTTAATGGCTTTAAGATACAGGTCCCAAAATACTTAATACTCTATATTTAATATTCTTAATTTTTGTATTATTTTGATCATAACATAACTGCATCATCCTAGAGAAGCCCTAAAGTTAAGAAGATGAACTGCATTATGAAATTTTACCAAAAACATAATTACATAAGTAACTGTTCATAAAACCAAACAAGTTGGAATTTGATTCACTGGTGTATTGATAAAGATGCTTGTTCGCTCGTTTAGTTTTGATTTCATCAGAAGTGCTAAATACAAATTCCTTGCTGGTATTATTGCCACCATTTCAATCCCTGATAAATATGTTAGTGGTATATTGTGATTCCATTACAACTATGAGTAACAAAAGATTCTAAAATTGTATTCGATTTTTACAAACATTTGTAGTGTAAATGTAATGTAAAAGTATTCAGTTGCAAACTTTAACAGAAGTGTTTTTAATAACCCAGAAAGCAACCGAATATGGTGGCATTGAAATATGTCTTCCATATTTAATGTGATGAGGTTCCATTTCTGGTAATGAAGATTCATAATATAATGGCCAGCCATTTAATAGCACTGTTTTCGTTCTTCTATTGTTAGAAGGAGCACTTAATATGAATTCATCAATGGTTAAGTCATTTCCATGGATAGCAGTACCATTCAGCAGGAACCGAGCCTTGTTCATTTCCAGATTTATTGCGTAAATTGTTATAGCTGTTGTGTCATTGGTGTATTTTCTGTTGGCACAATGGGCATACATTCTTTGATAAGGTGAACATTTGCAGTGCACATGTAACACCTTATTTCCTACAAGTTTTTTGTACAACACACTTAGCCACCAATCTGGTAATGGTTCTAAATGATCATCCACTAAACTGTAATTCCCCCCAAAAAAACTTTGTCTGATTACAGTAGTGATGTTATGCTTTGCACATAATCCTAATTTATCTAACCATAAAGGAGTCCCAGCAAAGGAATTTGATAATCCTGGTGCCCCTCCACCATAGGAACTGCTTGTTTCACTTAACCACATTGGTATATGGTTATATTTTAATGTATTGTTTTTCATGGTAATTATTTGATCATTAAGTAAATTAAATGTTCTTGGGTTCCAGAAATCTTCAAGCTTAGCAGTTTTGCTGTTTAAATAATATTGATGCCATGATTGTACATTTATGTAATTTGAACCATTGCCTAAAAATTCCACCATATATTGAAGACATTCATGGCAATGGGGCTGTGGCCTTGTTGTATCTGGTCCCACTAAAAGAGACTTTTTATAACCATAGTGATTTAAAATTTTTCGGAGCCTTTTAAAATCATGAGCCAACATTTCAGGAGTGATAGTGACATTAAATACATGGTGTAAAGAGTTTGGTTCATTACCTAGCTGCCAGTCCACTTCATATTCTCTTTGTTTTGAATATTCTAAAATGTCTATAGCATTATGATTATTCCATTCATGGTCATCACGCAGAAGGAGATTAAATGGAAATATTAATTTTAACCCTGTGGATTTACAAAATCCATTTATTTCATCCCATTTTTTCCCCGTCAGTATAAAGAACGGCAAGAATTTGTGTTTGCATAATTTTTTTACCGCATTATATACAGATTTGGAAGTATTCACAGGGTGGTATTTACAGGTAATGTAAGGAATATCTTTAGAACTGAAAATAAGCCGATCTGACATTGTACCACCAAGACGAAGCCGTGCAGGCGCTAATGCCGCCGCCAATTGTCTGAACCTTGGTTTTCTAAAGTCTATTCTATCATAATTTTGTATTTCTGAAGCATCTATACCAATACTTAAGAAGTCGTCCGGAAGAACGCTTTTAATTTCTTGATGTTCGTTTATTGTAACAAAACATTTTTCACCTGCATTATATTTGACAAATAAAACTAGGAGGGATATGTTACAGCAAACGGCTATTGCACAAATTACAACTAAACGTTTATTAGACAACATTTTCACACTTAAAATATACTTTATAATTTGTGATATTTAACCACACCACACTACAAATCTGTGTTGCCAAGTCTAAACCACATTGGTCTAAACCAGGGCTCGGAACCGGTTTAAAAAGAGCGGTTAATTTAGGTTAATTACCGGTAAATTTATCGCTCCTTCAATTACCGGTTAAAAAATTAACCGGTTTTTATTAAACCTAAACGATAAAGGTTACCGGTTACTTAACGGTTTTGACACCCAAATTAACCGGTTAATTCCGTAAAACGTAAAGGCAGTTGTGAATAGGACAGGTAGATTCACGTTGCGAGGTGCTTATGCGGCATCGCCGCATGCGGGCACACATCAATTATCTGCCTTTGAGCGATACGTTGTTTTAGTCGCGATCAGGGTGTGTAGTGGGAGTTTGGCGTTTACGAAAAACGTGAAAGTGTTAGAGAGGTTTTGAAGAAAGAAAGGCAGTTATTGTGTTTGCTTTATTCGTTAAGACTGGACTTGTCTCATAATGAAGAAAATAATTTATTCTTGTGTATCGCTTGTTTATTTATGATGGGCAGAAAAAAGTAAATAGAATTTATTCCATGTTGACGTTTTAACAGTGGTAGAGCCACGCGGCAGCTTTTGATATCGCATGGATGGGCCAGCTCGAACCAGGGTAGTACCACGACCTCACAGAATACCAGCGTGAAGTAGAAGTTTACTTCTGCGTTTCGCTTGGTAAGTGTAGGTGGTCTGAGGCCCAATCCCCCCCCCCCTTAAAATATGGTAGCGGAATCAAATAAAAAACTATCCCAGGAGGGTACCAGAATCCTGGTGACGGAGAATCCTTCGCTGAGCACCCACGCCCAAGCTACCCTACTGTTCCTGAGCATGTGTGCTCAAGCAGTCCCGCGTATTCTGGTATACGGGGGGGGGGGGGGGGGTATCCGCGTAGATCGTGATCCTTGGTGATTTTAACGACCATCACGCCGAATGGCTCGGTTCACATTTAACCGACCATGTGGGGAAATTTGTTTATGACTTTGCCATGCATATGGGTGCACAGCTGGTTACTTTGCCTACGCGGATTCCAGAAGTGGAGGATCATGCGCCTTCCCTGTTGGAACTTCTGCTGATCTCTTATCCGGACGGATATCAGGTTTCCGTCGACACCCCTCACGGCTCGTCTTGTCCGGAGGGTGGTGTCACTCACACTATCTTCGCGGTTGTATTCTGCAGGCAGCCGCCGTGTTTGGCACTATAGATCGGCCGATTGGGAAAGGATGCGGTCTTTTTTTGCATTTTACCCTTGAGGGCGAATTTGCTTTTCGCTGGACAATCACAGCAATGTTGCTGATTCTGTCGCTGATATGGTACTTGAGGATATGGAACTTTTTATTCCATCTTCTGTGGTACCCATCGGAGGCAGATTCCAGCCATAGATTGGTCGCTCATGTAAAATAGCATCACACTATAAGCAAGAGTGCTACCAGCACTGGGCTGACGACATCTTTACATCCTGAGACGTTGATGTATCGAGATGTAAACACCAGCGCTCTTCAAAAGAAGTATAATTCCATCTCCAGGTTCTTCAAAATTCATTGCCAAGGCAAGGTCAGAGCACATCGGCGGAGTTGGTGACAGGCTAGTTCGCCTTCCTTCGGTAACCCGTGCATTCTGGTCTCTTGCTAAAGCTGTCCAAGGGAACTTCTGTCAGCCATCTCTTCCATCTCTGCACAGAGAGGACGACTCACTGGCCCATGCCGCAAAGGAGAAAGCCGATCTGTTAATCTCTCTTTTTGCGTCCAACTCGATTCTCGATGACGGAGGAATACATCGCCGACCATCCCGCGGTTTGAGTGCTCCATGCCAGATGTACGGCTTACACAGCGCTCGGTTCACAAAGCACTCCTCTCCCTGGTCATCAACAAGTCGAGTGGGCCTGATAGAGTCCCTTCCATTGTGCTGAAGACGTGTGCTCCGAAGTTGTCACCTGTTTTAACGCGTCTTTTCCGGTACTTCTACTCCTAAGGCGTTATCCCAAAATCATGGAAGACAGCTTTGGTTCACCCGATCCCTAAAAAACGCGACCGCTCAGACCCGTCAAACTACAGGCCTATCGCCATCACCTCCTTGTTCTCAAAAATAATGGAATCCATTATAAACAGTTTTCGTCGGGGTTGATCAGTTGGTGATCTTCTGGTCTATCTAACTCATAGATGGGCGGAGGCAGTAGAGTCCAAGGGGTAGGCATTGGCCGTTAGTTTGGTCATAGAGAAGGCCTTCGATCGGGTCTGGCACAAAGCGCTTCTTTCGAAGCTCCCTTCCTATAGGTTTCCCGAGAAATTGTGCAATTCTATCACCAGTTTCCTTGCTGATCGGAGCATCTCTGATTACAAGCCTATTAACGCTGGTGTTCCACAAGGCTGCCTGCTATCACCAACACTGTTTCTACTGCATATTTAATGATATGTTGCAAACTGGTAACAACGACAGCACTGGTGATGCAATATACACCGGCCGTGCCAATATTTCTCGGGAAACGTCTCCGAGTATCGGAACAAAAGTAAATTAAAGTAGAGTTGCAGCCTTTATACGTCCCACTGCTGGGCACAAGCCTCCTCTTATTTCTGAGAGGGTTTTAGGGCAAGTAAATGTCCGCCACGCTGCCCCAATGCTTGTTGGCGAACTTCACATGTCTTCGAGATATATTTTTTTTTATTTCTCAGACATGCAGGTTTCCTCGCGAAGTTTTCCTTCACCGCCGAGCACGTGGTAAATCGGCACTTAAAATTACAAACAATTTCATTGGTGCCGGCGGGGATCGAACCCGAGTTTCTCGCGTACTGTGAGACTTACAGCGAGCGCTAACCATCTAAGCTACCACGGCGCTACCGGAACAAACTTGTGTCTGATGTCGATTCTTTGCTGAACAAAGTCTCGGATTGAGGGTGGCTAAATCTAGTCCAGTTCAATCCCCAGAAGACACAAGTTTGCACGTTTACCGTTAAAAAGAATCCCTTTGTCGTACCTCCTCAGTATTAAGGTGCTCCCCTTGCTGCCTCAGCTAGCATCGGAATCCTCGGCGTCGACATATCGAATAGTGTGCAGTTTTGAGGTCACTTGGAAGGGAATGCCAAATTGGCCTATAAAAAGCTTGGCGTGCTCAGCAGAGCAAGGTAGTATTTCATGTCGGCACATCGCTTGCAACTTTACAAAGCGCAAATTCGGCCTCTCGTCTCTGGGTCGGGGCACGCCAGTGTCCCTAATGCTAATAAAACTAATGACATTGAAATAAAGATGCATAGCGTAATTTTAATAGAAAACGTTAAATATAATTAAAGTCAATTTAAATATATAACGTAAAATTAAACTTGATATCGAAACTTAATTTTAAAGTGAAGATAACGCATAATTAATTGAAACAGAACTTACAATAATGTGATGAGTTACAATCTGTTATTTATAATACGATCGTTGCTGAAAGATGAAAAAATATGAGGGAGTACGTCACGTACGAATATATCGTTCATGTGCCTAAAAACCTCGGGAATTAAACAGAGGCAGCCGTACAAAGCTGGGTGCAAGCGGGGTAAGAGAGAGGGGGAAATTACAAATCTTGGTTTAAACCGGTTAATTCTTACTACCTAAACCGAAATTTGTGAAAAACCGGTATTCCGCAAAAACCGGTTTTGGGGTCAATGACCGAAACCGGTTTAGAATTTGAACCGGTTTCCGAGCCCTGGTCTAAACCGTCTAAACTAAACTAAACCGTTCCGAGCTTCCGAGCCCGTCAGCCGTCAGGGTACTTTTTTTTTTTGGAGTTTATGGCCTGGTATCTAGACCTTTAGGCCAAGTCTTAAGTATTTTTATTCGGTTTATTGTAATTTCCCCACTCCTTCATAGTATACTGCTTCACAATATGTTGATGCGTCACATTGTGCAGTTCTTGGGAGATTTTGGCGGCAACTTGATCCAGCAGACAGCTGATAGTTGGCGATGGTATCTAAAGGTGCCTATGCAAACAAACAGCTTATCTTGAGAATCCATCACCATCAGAGCACTTGTTTCACTATTTCCACTAATAGTTCACATGCGTAGACACTTAATACACAAAATCGCAACACTTTTACATATCAAAGTCCACTTCAAACCATTATTTAAACAATAATACAGGAGTAGCAAACCGCCGCCGGTCAATTTCCCGCCAAAACTCAGGGTACATTTATTCTGTGATTCCGAGACGCCAAAAATAAAAAAAAGTAGCCTAAATTCGCCTAATTTTTTTTCTGTAATATAACCTAAGATCGCCTTCTGAATTGTTAGTTAGCTTATAAAGGGTATTTTTAAACGTAGATCCCTTATTTTTATTAATTATTTTTATAATTTCAAGCACTTTATCCTAAACGTGAAAGAAAAGATTAACATAAAGTACTTATATGTATTTTATCTGTTTATCATTATTAATATTTCAGAAAATGAAACTAAATATTTTATTTAGAATTAAAGAGATTAGCGAACGAATACATATATTCATATAATATATCTCTAAGAAATACCTCTTTTTCTTAGGTCATTGATACCTTCAAATCTAATCTTCGGGTTTTTGGGGGGAACTTGACCGGCGGCGGTTTGCTGCTCCTGTATTATTGTTTAAATAATGGTTAAAAGTGGACTTTGATATGTAAAAGTGGTGCGATTTTGTGTATTAAGTGTCTGTGCATGTGAACTATTAGTGAAAACAGTGAAACAAGTGCTCTGATGGTGATGTGATTCTCAAGATAAGGTGTCTATCTGCTTAGACGCTTTGAGATGCTTTGAGACAACATCGCCAACTGTCAGCTGTCTGATGGCTCAAGTTGCCATCAAAAAGTCCTAAGGGCTGCACAATCTGACGCATCAACATATTGTGAAGCAGTGTACTATGAAGGATAATTATACATTGAAGGCCAAGGCAGGCCAAGAAATGGGTAAAAAATCTAGTCTTCTTTGATATTTCTCTGTGTCAAAAACGTATGTTT